TACGTAGGGACCCGGGGCGACTGTCTTCAAGATTCCGCAAGCCCTTGCCGCATGTTGCTGCGCCCGGGGCCCTGCGCGGAGTGCCTGGCGTTTTGCCTACGTATACGCGCCGATATACATAGGAACCAAGGGAGGCAATTTCCAAGACCTGGGCACCCTTTCCCGCATGCTATGGCGCCCGGAGCGATGCCGGCGACCCCTTTCGGTTGCCTGCGTATACTGGCGGGGATACGTAGGGACCCGGGGCGACTGTCTTCAAGATTCCGCAAGCCCTTGCCGCATGTTGCTGCGCCCGGAGCCCTGCAATGGAATGAACAGCAAGGCAAACGCCAACACGTTTGAAGCCTATGCGTGACAAGTCCGCGCGCCCTTCTAGTGCAGTACTACTTCGGGTTCCGGAATTTGTCATGCAAACAGTGCCACGCGGCAGCTATGCAACGCGACCAGATTTAGGGTTTTGCATGACAAATGAGGAAGAGGGAAACAAGTTGTGCACCCCCACACCTTGCCGGGCTGGGGACCCTGTTGGAACACCGCCGGCGTCGCCTACAGCATCAACTTTCTTTTCCCGCAGTCCCCCTGTTTGGTTTACCACGACGTGGACGCGGCGTGTCAGAACCTTGTGGACCCCTTTCAGTCGTGCGTAGCCATCGCGAGCCGCGATTTCGCGTTCTCCGAGTCTGTCTGGGACCCGATCGAGAAAACGAATGACAACAAGCACGATGGTATCCGGTGTAAAAACGTCCCCATGCCAGAGTTGTCATGCAAATCTGCATGCCCATTTTGGGCCCCAAAATGTTTGTCATGCGGAGCCCCATGAGAAGCATGATTTCCTAGTTGTGTTTTGGAATTTGTGTAATGCGCCACTCAGCATTATATAATAGATTTGTGATGCTCCTAGACTACCTCAAACAGCACTACGCTGCGATTCCACATTTGTCATGCAAAACAGCCAAGACTCGTGGACTTGTCTAGCCGGTTCCCCATCTTGACTATGGTCGTGGGGGTACGTTTTTACTCAGGATAGATGGCCTCGCCTTCGGGCAAAATTTGAACATCGGCTCCGTGTATCAAATGCAAATATGTCTGGGTCTGGAAGATTGCAGCTTGTCATGCTAAATCTGATTCAGGCGAAAAACTGTGTTGCGTGATTGCCAAAAGTTGTGCACTTTTGACCTAATCGGGAGGCAGTTTCTCATGCAGGATAGGCATGAGGAAGGTCTCGCAGAATCTGTCATGCTATGTCCTCCATGCCAGAGCTCATGGGCCATGGAAAACCTGCATGACAAATCTGGCAATCGTCCAGACCCAGACATGTTTGCAATCCATACCGTGCGGGAACAAACCGTGCTCAGCACGGAAATGGGCCCCGGAAACTACCACAACATCGTCGAAGTGAAGAGAACGGGGGCCGGGTCTAGTACGCCGACCGTCGCCGACCCGCCGGTGGTTCCCTACCTCTTCCATGGCAACCGATACAACCGCGACTGCAAGAGGCCGGAGAACAAGAACCAGGGCAACGGAGGAACGAACGCGAAGTCGGTAGCTTCCGGAGCGTCCTTTTTCAACCCCGCATCCACAAACCCCGGCCCGTGCAAGCGAACCAAGCAGTTCACGGAAAAGTACGCGCGGGGGCCGCCGGATGGTAATGATCAGACGGTGCTCGCTTCTTCCCAGCAACAACCTTCGTACACGGTGGAAGAAGTGCTGGATGTAATGTCAGATATGGAGTATGCATTGCAAATATCCCTGGATGTCTGGAAGAATGCAACTTGTCATGCTAAATCCGAATCATGCAAAAATTTGTGTTGCATGAGTGCCAAAAGCTGCCCACTTTCGACCAAGTTGGGACCGAGTTTGTTCTCATGCAGGATCGGCATGACAGAGACCACCTCACAGAGTCTGTCATGCTAGGTCCCGCATTCTAGACCCAGGGCTCATGAAAAACCTGCATGACAAGTTTACACTCTTCCAGACCCAGACACATTTGCAGTTGATACGGAGAAGCCTTTTCCAATTTACCGGACGCGGCCAGACGGGATCGTCACCCTCTTCACCGTCCTCTTTGACTTCGACTTCGAACGCGAAAAAGAGAGAACAAAATCAGGATCAACCGGGGCTGCAGCTGCTGTCTCGTCCTCTCCTCCGCTTTCCACCAACAAGAAACTACCCAAACTGAACGTCACGTGTTGGAGACACCCCGGGGCAAACACAGCCACCGGCCTAAAAGACACCCCGCCGGTCGTGTTGGCAAAATTGCTGTAACGACACAGCACTGACGCTGGTGTTGCAGAAAAATAAACACGAAACTAGCACCGCTGTGCTGCCATTCAGTAAAACGAACAGGCGCGGGCAGTCTACATTTTTTTGGTAGAGAAAGCGATGTCAAATGCGAGATGCTGTGAAAAAAAAAAAGTAGATGTTGCGCGTATAACCATCAGAAATAACAAGTACAATAGCTCGAACTTGTACAGGCTTTGTCATCCTTTGGCTGTGGCCCATTTTTGATGATTTTTCCTGCTGGTGACACATGGACATAGCTTTTCCCGCGAGGTCCGAAATTAGAAAGATAAAGTACATAGAGTACAGCACTGTCTGTGTCCTTCTACCGAGATTACACATCTGCAGCGTGATCCGTGTTGAAGAAGATCATGAAGGAGCAGTTACACTCCAGCGGTACTATATAGAAAGCAAGTCAAAAACCGAAAAAAACCATAAGTTTCCCCCAAGAAAGGTGAAGATCTTCACGATACCCATAAAAGACCTAAGACAGGATCTTATTTCCTTTACTTTGATTTATTTACGTTCTGCAGAATGATCGAAAACAAGTGGACGTGGCTCGGCACGATCTTTTCGGACGAGACTGAGACAAGAACTGTGTGCCTATTTAGTAGAGATCCAGCATTGCGTCAAGATCTGAGCGTCAGACTTCGTAGGACTACTTATTATAGGGATGAAAACGAAAAGTTCTTGAACGTTCCACCGGCTCTTGATCTTCTGTTGTCGCCGCTATACTAACCTATTGATCCTCCATAAGTCAGGGATCGACCTATGCGAGCTCTCACGTAGAACAACGCCTTGATTTTCTCCGTATGAACCTGATTTTCAATTTGTCTCGACTCCAGCGACCGGAAGTAGTAGGAAAAGCGTGCAGAACATCATGTGGAACAAAGAAACAGCAAGACAAATGTGATGTGAAAGAAAATTTTCTACAATTCCAATTCGCTATTATTTTTAAAGTGGGGCAAAATAGAACAGCTTTGGCGGCCGTCGGCGAGATAGACGGCCGGAAACCTGGCCAGGCGCGCGCGATTCCGTTAAAGGCGAGCTTTTTCAGACAAGACTGGCAGCACTGGAGCGACGCTGCTGGTCCGGGCCGCCCTGCTACGTACGACTTCTTGTTCTCACATAAAGAAGAAGAAGAGGAGTTGCGCTAGAAGCATGTGGGTAGAGTAGCAGTAGAGTAGGACATCGTTTTACTGAGTAGCAATAGAGTAGTACTATCAATACTCTGCAGAAAAATGACACCCGCTAGCCCGGGCCGAAAGCCTCCGCCAGCTCCGGCTCCTCCTCCCCCGCCCCCCGCAGCTCTACTGCCCCCGCCCACCTACCCCGAGCTTCATCATCCCCCGCACGCCTTCCCAACCGTCCCCCCGGGCCTCTATCCATCGCCTGGAGGACCTCCGGCGCCGGGGACCACGGCGCACCACGCGACGTATAGCAACAACTATGGGCAGCTCCCGGCGTGGAACACCCACGACCCCGATCACAGTTTATTCCTAGCTCAACAGCGGTACTGGCTCCAGCAAAACCAGCAAACGTACCCGGGCTATAATGATGACGCGGCGTGGTGGGCCGCGAAAAACCTCGCGGACCAGTGGGCGAAAGAGGACTACGCGGAGCAGGCAGGGGACTATTGGGCCGCAGCAGCGGCGTATCAAATGTAAAAATGTCTGGGTCTGGAAAAGTGGAACTTGTAATGCGTGTCATGCATTCGTGGCATAGAAGAGAGGCTTTCTCTGTCACGCAAAAACGCATATATTGTAATGCGTGCTAGGCATCAGCAGGCGTCTCAAAAACTTGTCATGCTTGGCTGCCATTGGAAGCGCCGCTTCAATCATGCGCAATTCAGCATCACAAGTTTGCAGACCCAGCCATTTTTGCATTTGATACGGCGGCCGGTTGTTCCAAAGGTGGACCGCCTGGTGGACAAGAGGCTGCGGAAGAACAGCATTGGCCGCATACGACCGCAGCTGTTGGCGGAGCAAAACTTCAAGCAGAGGAAAGAACAAGCGCAATGAAAACGACAGCTCCGCAGAAGTTCTTGCACAGTAGCAGCACCGCGGCAGACGACATCTTGGCTCAGCAGCTATCTCTGGTGGAAGGAGGTGGGACCACGACGAGAACGAGTACGTCAAAGTGCAATAAAACTGCAAAGACCACAAGTGTACCCACTGCAACGAAAAGTACTAGAGCCCCACGCCCGGAGGAAGTGAACATCAAGAATCCTCTGCTACTACCACACCCTCCTGGTTTAGAACTTCCACCACAAGCAACGGCAAAGAAAGCGAAGACAAAAGAAGAGAAATCGGAAAAGAAGAAAGAACAAACGAGAAAAAGTTCATCTCCCGCTACAAAGACAAACAAAACGAAAACCACCACAAATCAAACCACGACTCGGCCGGAAAAAAAACACAGCAAGGGTAGACCACTGAAGACGGAAGTTAAAGCGGATGGTGTCGAAGAAGTGCATGAAAATCATACTAAGCCCACCAGCAGCCGAGAACTAAAAAACCCGGAACAAGATGATGCCTGGAACTACATGGAAGAGCAACTACAACAGGCGGTTTATAACTACCTCGCACCAAGCTCTACTACTTTTTCCGCTAGCGATTACCCGAATGCAGCAGCTGCATCACACCACGATTCACAAGACCACCAACATCAAAGCACGACCTTGTTGAACAAGAAAAAGAAAAAATCCACCGCAGAAGTTGCTCCTCAACATTCAGAAGCTGCTGCACCTCCTGCGGCTAAAAAAGATGATCGGGACTGGTACGAGAAAAACGCGCAGAAGTGGACAGAACAAGCGGACACGGTAGAGTGGGAATTCCCCACTCCTTTCTCTCTTGTTCCCGGAGAGGATAAACCTCCCGAGAAGAAAAGCAAAAAGCAGTCAGGAAAGAAGGAAGTCAAGGCCGACAAGAAAAAGCAGTCAGGAAAGAAGGAAGACGAGGCCGACAAAGATGAAGCCTGGTGGGCGGATCAGAGCTGGCTGGAAGCCCTGTACAATTATAGCTACGCTACTTGGGATAAAGACAATGCAGAAGGAACTTCGGCCGCAAAAGATCTCTTTCACGCCACTGCAGAAGGACTGCCTAGTCATTATTCCGAGGCCTATTTTTTGGGCGCCGCCGGCGGCGGAGGAGCAGATGAAGACTACAATTTCGCTGCCGAAGATGTGGAGCGACTGCTTGCTGCAGTGTCATCAGCGACGGAAAGGGAAAAAAAGACGAAAAAAGAACCAACCAGTAAGAACAAAAACAAAGCTTCCGACTGCTCGGCGCCCGACATGAAGAACCACCATCTCCTGGCCGCCCAGATGGAGCAAGTGTCGAAAGCGAAATCTGCACCCGAACAAGGGCTCCTGCACCAGCTACCAAGCGGTACATTGGAAGATCAGCACTACAGCACGAAAACGAAAACCGCCCTACAGCTATCAAATGCAAATATCCCTGGACGTCTGGAAGGTTGCAGCTTGTGATGCTGTCTTTAGATTCTAAAAAAATCTGTATTGCGCGACCAGAAAGAGGAGTCCAGTTCGTGTTACGTGGAGAGCAGGGCATTTCTCATGCAGAATAGGCATCAGAAATAAGCCCTCGCATAATCTGTGATGCGAGGGCATGTATCATAGACATCATGGGTCATGCAAAATGTGCAACATGACAACCGTTGCACTCTTCCAGACCAAGAAATGTTTGCAATGCATAACAGCAGCAAGCGGACCAAACCCCCGCGACGGTGGCGTCCTCGAGTGCACCTGCCCGGGTCGACGATGTCGTGAAGGCGAAAGAGCAATATAAATCCGCAATTGTTCATCCATCTGCAGTATCAAATGCAAAAATGTCTCGGTCTGGAAACTTGTGATGCTGGGTGGCGTATCATGGGGAGGCAACATGTGCTGGCACAGCATGACAAGTTTCTGAGCTTCTAGGTGTTTTGCCTATTCTGCATGATAAACTGCGTTTCTGCATGACAGAAAAGTGGAGCTCTTGGGTATTAACGTGCATGACAGATTTAAGAGTCATACCAGACAAGCATGACAAACATGCATTCTTCCAGACCCAGACATTTTTGCACTTGATACGCAAGCCCGACCCTGGATTTCATGACTTTAACCCCACCTCCGATGCCGCCGCCGAAACGGCCGCCGCCCCCCTTGCCGCCCCCCCTCCCGCTTCTGCTTCCAACGGCAGTAGAGACGACAGCGGCCGCTGCCCAGCGTGCTTGTTTTCCGGGGACCACGAGTAGCAGCAGTTGCTCCGCTAGCAGCTCGAGCTGTACGACTATGGGCGAAACGAGGACTACATTTACTGCTGGGGCTGGTGCACAGAACTACACCAAGGGCGGCGCAGCAGTCGCAAGTAAAGAGACCACATCCAAAGCGGCCCCTTCGAGTTGTTCGTCCTCTACCGTTTCTGCGGGAAAAAGTAATCAACCCACGGCCTTCGCCCCCCCAAGTGCAGCGCAGACTCTGTCCAATGCAAATAAAGCCGACGTACTCCACAAGGGCGGGATGAACAAAAAAGGTGCAGGTGCGGCGCAAGCAGCAAAACCAAAAACGACCCCTGTGATTCCACATCCCGAACTGGGAGAAAATATCCAAAATAGCAGCAACGCCGCCAAGAAAATGAAAAAACAAATCAAATACCCGCCCCCTTGCGACCTTGACGAAGACCCAGAGCCGGACGAGATTTTGATGAGCTTGAACAAAATCGATGAAGAAGAGTACCCGAGTCTCAGCGCCGCTCTGGTCACAAAAGTGCCGAAAAAGCAACAGCACTTGGTGAAAAAGACGGCGGTAGCGAAGCCGATTCTGAAAAGGACATCAAAGCCGGACGATCAGGAAGTAGATCTACTTCACGATGCAGAAAAAGGACCAACATCTACTGGAGAACAGCAGCGGGGGGGACACGTAGTAGGTGCAGTTGCTGTAGTTCCTGTTGTTTCATCACAAACACAACAAGATAAAAAACCTACATCCGGCCGTGGGCAACACGGACAGGGAAAAATTGTGCTGCAGTTCAACGCTTCCCCGAAGTATCCCGACCCGCAGGTTCGCACAAAGAACGGTGGTGGAGGAACGAATATTAAGTGTTCTTACACAACCACCGCAGCTACCAGTGCCGCAAGTAGCAGCAGCAGCAGTGAACAATCGGGTGACGACGAAGAGGAGGACGACGAGGAAGATTCCGAAGAAAAAAGGGGCATTTTCACTGAGTATGACCCGGTGACCGGGGAAATGAAAAAAGTCCGCTATTCCACCGTGGTCCGCGAATCTCCGAAGGTGTTTCCGGCCGAAGAGCCGGACGCGTACTGGTCCGACGACGAGGGGCTGACCCTGGTGCCGCAGGTATTGAAGCCGAAAAAATCCCTGCTGCTGGACTTTATCAATTTGGAATCGAAGGTGGACGAAGAGGGAGAAACGGACTTCGGGCAGTTTCAGAGCTTCTTTCGCGAGTGGCTCGAGGAGAAGGAACTATTCGAGGAGAACGAAATCGAAAGTCGGCCTCTGGATGATCTGCTGGACCTGATGGCGGAGGAAGAAATCGGGTATTCTGAGTAAAAACGCTCCACCCCAGAGTTGTCATGCGAATCTGCATGCCAAAAAAGTTTCTCATGCGAAGCCCCATAAGAAGCGTTTTCTAAAGTTGTGCTCTGGATTTTGTGATGCTAGAATCAGCATGATATGCTAGATCTGTGATGCTGCTGCACTAGCTAAACAGGAGTACACTACAAGGACAAACTTGTCATGCGAAACAACCAAAGCTGGTTGATTTGTCTAGCAGATTTCCCATCTTGACTCTGGTGTGGGGACGTTTTTACTCCGGATATCGGGGAAGACGACATTGTGAGGGAAGTCCTGAAGGACCTCGACGGCGTGCTCACCAAGCGGTGCAAGACGCTGGAGACGGTGCAGCGACGCGACGTCCGCCCGTATTGTGAGGAAAAATGCCCCCTCCCCATATTGAAAAGGTACATTTCATCTGGAAATTTGTAATGCTTATTTGTGGCAACAAATCGTCTCTGTCTTGCCAGGAGGCAAACCCAGAAGACTTCCCGCATTATGCCAGCGGTTTGGGATGCTGTTGGGCCTACGGCGTCGACTTTTGTCATGCTGAGCGCCTAGGCTAAAACCTCTCCGCGCAGGCTTGCTATGGGCCTGCAGTCCTCTACTGCAAGACAAGGCTGAGTCGTGTACGCAGATCCAGCATCAGAAATTTCGCTTTGATATGGGGAGGGGAAATTTTTCCTCGCAATAGCCCGGAACAGAAAACCTGGGTGTGCCAACCGTGTTTGTATCTCCCACCGAAGGACCAGTGGATTGACCTAGACGCGCACCCCGAGGCCTGGCAACTCCTGAGCACGGTGCGCATCGGTATGAATTGCAAAAGCATCGTACTAGTAGTAATTGCATAATTACAAGTTGCCTCAGCATGACAAATGGAATGGAATTTGTCATGCTGTTTAACCTTCAGGACAAGATTTGTCATGCATAAATTGCAATTAGTACCAGAGTGCGATACATTTGCACAGGATAATCGGCACGCCGCAGCAAATTCACGACGCGATCCGGCGGTGCAAGAAACTCAGCATCGGGCTGATCCGCGACAAGCGCGGGCGGTGCGTCATGCACTACGCGGCGCAGAAGGGCAACGTGGCGGCGCTGGAGTACTTTGGGCCGCTGGCCAACGCCCTGGACCGGGAGGGCTGGGCCCCCCTCCACTACGCGGCGTACTTTGGGAACCGGGTCTCCTGCGACCGGCTGGTCCTATCAAATGTAAAAATGTCTGGGTCTGGAAGAATGCAACTTGTCATGCTACTTTTGGAATCTACATAAAATCTGTATTGCATGAACAGCAAAAGAAGTGTAATTTGTGCCTCGCGGAGAGGGCATTTCTCATGCGGTATGAGCATCAGCAAGCGCTCGCAAAATCTCTGATGCTCGGGCATGCATCACAGACCTCATGGGCCATGCAAAATCTGCATGACAAACTCCTGCATTCTTCCAGACCCAGACATTTTTGCAATCCATAGGTCCAGCTGGGCGCCGACATCGACATGCCCTGCTTGCCGAACGGGAAAACGCCGTTTGACTACGCCGAGGACAGCTTCATGAAGTATGGATTGCAAAAGTGTCTGGGTCTGGAAAGTTGTGATGCAGGTCACTGAATAATAACCACACTGTAATGCGCCGCCAAGCATGACAACTTTTTTCATGCTTCTGTGTTGCGTAGTTCCGCATGAGAAACTGCGTGCTTGCATGACAGGCAAGAGGAGCTCTTGGTTGCCACGCAATACAGATCCCAGAGTCATGCCAGTCTAGCATGACAAATCTCGCGATCTCCCAGACCCAGACATTTTTACAGTTCATATGAAGTGCACCATGACCACCCTGGCGCTCAACGGCGCCAACAGCATGAAGGCCCGACGCATCGCGCACGCCTTCATCGAGACGCTGTCCGTCACGTACCGCAAAAAGCTTATGCAGTGCAAATATGTCTGAATGTCTGGAAACTTGTGATGCTGGGTGGCGTATCAGGAGGGAGCCACAAGTGCTGGCTCAGCATGACATCAAGTCTCTGAGCTTCTAGGTGTTCTGCCTATTCTGCACGGCAAACTGCGTTTCTGCATCACAGAAAAATCGGGCTCTTGTGTAACGTGCATGACAGATTTAAGAGTCATGCCAGACAAGCATGACAAGCCTGGCATTCTTCCAGACCCAGATGACATTTTTGCACTTGATAAAGCTGATGGCCGACCAACTGCGGGTGAACGCGGCCACCGCGGCGGCGGGATATCCTGAGTAAAAACGTACCCACACCATAGTTGTCATGCAACTCTGCATGCTTAAAATGTTTCTCATGCGGAGCCCCATGACAAGCGTTTTCTAGTGCGGTTTTGAAATTTGTCATGCTCCAATCAGCACGAGATACTAGATCTGTAATGCTGCTAAACTAGCTCAAACAGCACTACACTACGCGGACAAACTTGTCATGCCAAACAACCAAAGCTGGCTGATTTGTCTAGCAGATTCCCCATCCTGACTCTGGTGTGGGTACGTTTTTACTCAGGATACGGGATCCGGGATCTTCGGCACGGCTCCGCAGAAGCCCAAGGAGGGTGCGCCCGAGGACCATATCAAAAGGAAAAATTCCCCCTCCCCATATTGAAGCGGTATGTTTCCGAAAATTTGTGTTGCTGATTTGAGGTCACAAATCACATTTGTCTTGCAAGAAGGCAAGGGTAAAGGCTTCCGCCCCATTATGGAAGGAATTTGTCATGCTGATGAGCCTAAGGAGCAGCCGCCTGCCATGCTGAACAACTAGACCCATACGCCCCTACCTAGCCTGGGGATCTGGCCGCAATGCCTTCCTGCAATACAAAGCTGATTTGTGTACACAGATCCAGCATCAGAAGTTCCGTGTTGATATGGGGGGGGGGATTTTTCCTTTCGATAGACCAGTCACTTTCGCTGGTGGAGCTGGCGCTCGGAGAGGAGGCGCCTGCGCACCGCGCGCAACCGGCAGTGCTGGCGGGGAATTCGAGGCCGCAGGACCATCATCAAACTACCGGCGGGAAAAACAACCTTCAACACAGCCGCGGAAATAAACAACAGGCCCACAACTACCATTGGAACCACCACGGCCAACAGCACAAAACAGCCCAACATCACCACTCCGGAACAACAACAGCAGTTCCTACAGGTGGTGGGGGTAAGCATTATGGAAACAGCAAGCAAGGCGGCGGGGGCGGTAAAAATCATGCTCAGGGCGCAGCTGGCGGAAATAACAAAGGAACGCATAACTACAGTAGTGCAGCCGGAGGTGCTGGGGGAAATATTAACAAAGGTGGTGGCGGTGCGAACAAGCAGGGGAAAAGCAAGTCGTAAAGAGCTTAAATATCATTGCGCCACGACGGAGTTGTTTTATATATTTTCTGAGAAATCTTTTCGTTGCGGAAATTCTGGCACGTCGACGCCGAGACACGAATTGAAGAAACTGCCTTGTGGAAGGAGACGCGAATAGGTACTAACCTCAAGAAATGTAGTGCTGGAGCATGGATACTGAAGTAGGAAGATGTTATCTAAATTTCTTTTTTTTATATATTACAAAGGCACAAACATAAAACATGACAACATCTAATGACAACTTCAGATCGGAAATGGTGTTGATCCAGCAGGCCTGTCGTCATCATCTCGTCGCTGTTCCACTTCGTGTTCTGTAATGTGCGGTCTGACCCCTTCTTCCGGCTTCTCGCATTGCGAATCCACCGGTCTCCGCACTGCTGTTCCCTCCTCCTCGCGACGATGCTACGGCTGCTCACATCGGAGGTCAGTGCGCAGCTAGCCACACCACCGGGTAGTTGCCTCCACCCCAGCTGAGCGTGGGAGTCGACAGCCGTGGAAGATGTTATCTAAATCACAACTGTTTCCCTCATCGTGGCGCCTATACTGACGAGAGCAAAATCCAAAAAACTTTCACGGTCCCCATTGATTTCAGCGCAATTCAATGTATTTTGAATTTGATGCTGAGAAGTCTCGTCATTCTGCATATAACTACTCTCACGGAAGATGGAGGGGCGCCGCGCAGTACGACGCAATATTGGTATTTTGTGAGTGCTTGCCGCGTGTTTATCGTCACAACATGCTTATTTTTTGTGGATTTAATAAGTGTTCCGTTGCGCCGGCCTGTTCTGCTGTGGCTCCACCTCGCGGTATGTTTCCATCAGTATCACTATCAGATCCCGATGAGTCATATTTTATACTATGAGCGAGATCATTGCAATAAAATCAGGACCTCGGTCAAACAACCGGCTCATCAATGGATGATTAGGTTTGTATGCAGAAAAGCGAATGGTATCGAAGCAGTGGAGGAAGTGCGAGATCGCGAGAGGTATGATGTGAAGATGTAACAATAAAACAAGCTCTTGCAGAAGTAAAGCAAAAACGCCGATAGTATAGCCAACATAGGCACACCAAGACAAAAATACACGTCGGTTAAAAGTAGAATGAACTTGCTCGCAAGTGGAAGATCCTGGAAGTAGGGATGAACAATGTGAAAAGACTGAGGTAAAAAATGCAACTGGAAGTAGTAGAAAGATCCTGGATAGAACAAAAACATTACTAGTCGGTGAGAGCGAGAAAAACCTGTACAAGAACTCGGTCTAATTACCAAATTTCAAATCGTCTGTAACGTGATAGCTTTTTGCAGCAAAAATTTTCTGATCCAGAAAGCCGTAGAATTTCACCGAATGAATTTGCTCCCGTTTTCCTGGTGCTCTAGTACCCAGCTCCGGTGCCTTTTCGGTTTTATTTGGCATGGCGGGTGTAGAAAACGCATGGCAAAGCAATTCGCACCAGGAAAACTTCACCTAAAACAAGGCAATAAAGCCGAACTGTGTCGCTGTCGTGGCGTTTGGACGAATGGAAAGTGGGCCAAATAGTAAAAATCTCGCACACAGGAGCTTCTACCCTTGTTTTTAACATTTTGGAGGCGCTAAAGTACCTTACCCTGAGGCCGGATTCTTGTTTTCTAGTTTATTGTGCTGCGTAAAAGTAGTAGGATAGGGGGGTTGAACAGGGACAGACTAAGGCTTATATATACTAGTCGAACACATTTAAATCATCTTTTTTGTGCTGTAAAAATTAGATCGAGTACGACCTTGCTACTAAAAGCAACAACTACCTCACCCATCCTGCAAAGTTTTGTCACGACTGACGCCTAGTCGTTCCAACTAGTTCTAGTTTTGGCACAAGTATACTATTATAGAGAAGCACTATCAGCTCCAGCTGCTCCTTGTATGATTTATCGTCCCTGAGGTTCTTTTGGTCAGGTATAATTTCGGTATACGTTAAGTATTTTTCTTTATGATCACATTTGCCCTTGCGAAGTAAAGTCTAATATAACTATAGCGAAACGACTGGGATATTAATTCCTGCACTACCCTTAACAAAAATCCTGCACTACCCTGAACTCATTTTTTAACATCATGGAGCACCAGGAGCGGTTGGCGTTGGTAAAAAAGTCCCCTCGTCTCACTCCGCGACCGGACCGTGTACTACTGCCTCTTTCGCCGCGCCACATCAAGAAGGCCACGTGCACCACGATGAAGAAAGTTATGATCATCTCCGCCGTGCTTCTTTGCGGCCAAGAGCTTCTCGTTGCGCCACTGTGCTGCGTTGCCTTCACTCTGAACAAGCTGCGCCCGACTGCCGCGTCGTCCTCCACTTCTCCTGAAGCGGAAAAACTGCTTCACCAGAAAAAATGCTTTCAGTACGCTGACGCGAAACGATTGGAATGTCACGCGAATGCATACGGATCCTTTGACAAGCTAGTCGACGCGAAAGTGAGCGAAAGTGAGCGAAATGCATCCGTGAACGCGAAAGTAGACGAAATCCGTATGCATTGCAAATATGTCTGGGTCCGGAAGAGTACAACTTGTCATGCTAAATCTGAATCATACAAAAATCTGTGTTGCATGATTACCAATAAAGCTGTTCACTTTTGAGAAAGCCGAGAGACGGTTTCTCATGCGGAAAAGGCATGGAAAAGATCTCATAGAATCTGTGATGCTACGGCATGCATCACAGACCTCCTCACGCATCGTGCAAAACGTGCATGACAAACGTTGCACTTTTCCAGAGGACCCAGACACATTTACATTTGATAATCCGTGCCGCGGTGCAACTAGTCCTGCGAATCGGTGAGATCAACGAGCAAGAGCAGCAGGCCGGCGCTGGAGCAGGGGCAGCTCCTGTTGCGGGTCCGGGCCGCGGGGCGGACGCGCCGCCAGCACTGGGGGAAGTGCAACGGGCGGAAGAAGTACAGCAGAAGCCCGGCGCAGTCTCGCAGGCCATGCGTGCCGCAGTGGGGGTGGGCCACGAAACAGGACAGCCGGTGGTCAGCTACCCGGCTCTGTGGCACAACTTGGGCGGCGCGCTGGTCGAGGGGCAAGAGGCGCGGGCGGGAGACAGGGTTAGGACTGAGAAAGCGCTACGGGAAGCCGTGCAACTCGTGAAAGCAGCCAGACGCTGCGTGCTCCCGCGGAAGCGGTTTGTGGAAGAGAATTGCGCGACATATGTGAAGAATCCAACAGATGGCCACCATTATGCGGACACAGCATTCGTGGGGACCTGGGATGCATTGGAAGACGCGCACGCGGTAATTCACAGTATGGAACAGCTGTACATTCGGGTTGCGGTGCTCTCTGCGCGGATAAAGCACCTGCGAAACGCAGTCGCAGCAGATGTAAGACGGCGGGAAGAGAGGAAGCGTAAAGAGGAAAAAGCCGAGGCCGAGGAGAGGGCCCAGGAACGGGAGGATGAAGAGGCCAGGAAGAGGGAGCTCGAGCAAGCTGCCTTTGCTGAGTATGCATTGCAAATATGTCTGGGTCTGGATTTGTCATGCGAGAATTGAAGGACAAGAAGATCTGTAATGCATGAATGCGATGCGCCAGTTTTTTTGTCGTGCTGGTTGGAAGTTTGTCTACATGCGTTTTATGAATGAAAATGAATCAGCAACCCGCCTTGCGGCCAATAAACTTCTGCTGCTATTATGCCGTATAAGCGGTTACTCTCTGATGCGAGTGTCAGCAACACAAACTTCCAGACCCAGACACATTTGCAATGCATACCGAGGAGCAACAAGCAATCAAAGAGGCGCGCAAGAAGGTTGTGAACAAACTCACAAAACAAGAGCGGCGAGAGGCGCAGGAGACTGCGGACTGGGACGCCGTCATCAGGGAAATCGAACAGGAGCGCGAAGAAGCCCGGGAACGGGAAAGGAACGAGTGGGCGCGCCGCCTATCAAAATGAAAAATCCCCCCTCCCCATATCAAAACGGAAATTTCTGTTGCTGATTTGCGTACACAAATCCGACTTGTCTTGCAGTAAGGCACTACGGCCAGGTCCGCAGCCTAGTTGCGAGCGCTCAGGTCTAGTTGTTCAGCATTGCAAACGGCTACCCTCTAGGACCAACAGCATGCCAAATCGCTTGCGCAATTGGGCGGATGCCTCTGGTGCACTTGTCTTCTTGCAAGACAAATCTGACTTGTGACCTCAAATCAGCAACAAAAATTCCCGGAGACATACCCTGTCAATATGAGGAGGGGGGATTTTTCCTCTCAATACCGCCTGGGCGAGATACGAGCGAAAGCGCTCCGGGGTGAGCGGATCTGTCTGGGCGATTTGGAAGTCGAACCCAGTACTGCCGAGCAAGCTGCGCGGGAGAAAAGAAAGGCCCACGAAAGGAGGTGCGCATTGATGCAGCAGTCGAAGGAGGCCACACGTATACGTCGGAACTACAAGGCCCGAGACATAGAAACGATCCGAGCAAGCGCCGGCTATCAGCGTCTCATGAGAGAAAAAGGGGAACTTGTCTTGTCGGAGAGCAGCGGCCCGAACCTGGAGAGAGCGCTTTCAAAAGATGAGGTTCAACGCTGGGTAGTGACCGCTGTTGTCAACGCTACTAAGGACGCGACCAAGTGGTGGAATAGCTGCGCGCTACCCCTTTTGCTCCACCCGACTGTGGGAATACAGACACTGCTTCGCCATGCAAAACACGGCGTTCGACATCGACTGTGGGAATACATACAAAACACGGCGTTCGGCCGCCAGATTGTGAAAAGCGAACAAGATGACCAAAATTCTATCGGGGGAAGAAAGTTGTTTCGCAAGATGTGCGAGGCCGCGGCCTGGCAGTCAGCAGTCCTTAGGATCGATCTCGTACTCACCTATTGTACGGAGAAATCCCCCCTCCCATATCGAAAAGGTATGTTTCCGAAAATTTGTGTTGCTGATTTGAGACCACAAATCACGTGCGTCTGTCTTGCAAAAAGACAGGCGCAGAGGCTTCCTCGCCATTATGGAAGCGATTTGGCACGCAATGTTGCGCTTAGGGGACAGCCGTTTCTTGTAATGCTAAGCAACTAGACCCAAACGCCCCTATCTAGGCCGAGCATCTGGCTGCGCTACCTTCCTGCAGGACAAATCGGATTTTTTTGTGTAGGGAAATCCAGCGTCAGAAGTTTCGTTTTGATATGGGGAGGGGGGATTTTTCCTTTTGATGTCACCCAGTTCAAAGCTATGGTGCATTTGGGGAAGAAGAAGTTAGCAACGTCGAAGATATCAAATGCAAATATGTCTGGGTCTGGAAGAATTCATATTGAATTTTTGCCATGCTGTTGTTGCATGACACAGAATCAATGTCTGTCATGGAAGCCCTAGCACCACAGATCTCCTCGAGAAGCTTCCGCATTGCTTGATCCGCATGACAAATGTCGCCCCACTTTGGTGACAGAAAACGGACCTCTTTTGCTGGCTATGCATGAGAGATTTGTGTGGTCGTGTGTGTCGTTAAATGCGCATCACAAGTTCGCACTCTTCCAGACATCCAGGGATTTTTGCAGTTGATAGTCAAAGAGTAGGGTTGCGGAAGTAGTGCCGTATGGCTTCGTGCGAGAGTGGGAGGTCGAGGCGGCGATGGAAGCATCGCCCTGCCCGTCGGCAAATAAAGACCAGGCCACGTATCAAATGCAAAAATCCCTGGATGTCTGGAAGGTTGCAACCTGTGATGCTGTCTTTGGATTCTAGAGAAAATCTGTATCGCAATACCAGCAAGAGGAGTCCAGTCTGTTCTACGCGGGAAGGGCATTTCTCATGCGGAATAGGCATTAGCAATCCCTCTAAGAATCTGTATCTGTGACGCTAGATCATGCATTACAGACAATCATGAGCCATGCAAAATATGCATGACAAACCTCGCATCCTTCCAGACCCAGACATATTTGCAGTTAATACCACGCTTGCGAAGGCCAAAGAGGTCGGCGAAACTTTGCGAAAGAAGGCACGGCTCCACCTGAGCGAGGAGTATCGTAAGGGAAAATCCCCCCTTCCCATATCGAAAAGGTATATCGCAGATAATTTGTAATCCTGATTTGTGACCACAAGTTGTCTCTGTGTTGCAAGGACGCAAGTCCACAGACAACCGCCGCATTCTGCTGGCGGTTTGTGATGCTGTTGGCTGTGCAGACTAGATGATTGCCTAGGTGAAAACATCTCTACCCAGTCTTAGAATTATAGGCCTGCTGTCCTCTCAAGCAAGACAAACCTGATCTGTATAGTGCGCAAATCCAGCATCAGAAACTTCGTTTTGATATGCGGAGGGGGGACTTATTTTCCGTTTGATAAGGAGGAAAGGAAAGTTCTTGTCACGGAAAAAGTCTTCGAAGCTAGCCCAATCATAGAAAGAAACGAAAGCCTGAGGACGAAGTTTGCCGCCGTCAAAAAAGTGGTGGAGTGGGCGGAAGAAGTGGAGAGAAAAATGGAGACAAAGTATTCGGCAGCTCTCGGGCAGGTCGAAAAGGTATCAATCGTAAAAATGTCTGGGTCTGGAAGAATCCGAAATTTGTTATGCTGTTTTTGCATGACACAGAATGTCTGTCATGGAAGCCCTAGCATCACAGATTTTTAGAGGCCTTCCTGATGCCTATTCCGCATGACAAATGCCCTCCGCGCGTAGCACAAACCGGACTCCTCTTGCTGGTCATGCAATACAGAATTTTTTAGAGTCCAAAGTTAGCATCACAAGTTCCAACCTTCCAGACCCCGACATTTTTGCAATCCATAAAAGGGTCCGGGGCGCCATGCAGTAAAACTCGAAGCGGACGAACGTGCGGTCTTACTGGCTGCTGCACGCTACGAGATGATGCAGATCAAAGACCGAGCGAGGATACAGGAACCAAACACCAGCATGGAGGACCTTTTTGGGAAGGTTATTGAGGGTTTTCGGGAAGTGTCGCAGCTCCAGGCGCAGAGCGGGAGCGCGTTTGCTGCACTGCTTTCACAATGGACTGCATCGGCAGCAGACGGGGGGCCCCCGCAGCTTCCGACAACGGACGAACAACTCAGCTTGAAGATGAAGGTCTTTGTATATATTCAAGATTTATATACGCTTCCTCCCTTTGTCAGCGTGCTGAAGACGTTCAATGAGGCGGTGTGGGTAACGGAAGGAGACAAAGTTTCCGCGTATCGTTTTTCCTCATTTGGTCCCGGCGAGATCCAGTACCCTTTTTTGGCAACGCTCTCCCTCCTTCGGGATTCTCAGATCGCGATTGGGGAACTCATGCTGAAGTCAGAGGAAGAGCTGCCTAGAGGAGAACAGCCCGCGCTAGACACGCTTTTTGACCGCTTGACGGAGTACAATGCCGCGACGGCCCCCAGACGCGGACGGCTGGAAGTTCTGCAAACCCTGACGCTGGAGGTTATGGACGATGCGCTTTTGCCCGCATATCAAATGCGAAAATGGCTGCTGGGTCTGGAAGATTCTGAGACTTGTCTGATGCATGTTTTGCATGACCCAGGACGTCTGTAATGTTGCACACCCTAGCTGCATCACAGACTTTTAGAACTACCCTTCCTGATGCCTACCCCGCATGACAAACGCCCGCCCCGCGTAGCACAAACAAGACTCCACCCCTTGCTGGTCCTCATGCAATACAGATTTTTTTAGAATTATCCCAAGTTAGCATCACAAGTTCCAAGTTAGCATCACAAGTTAGCATCACAAGTTAGATGCATTATCCCAAGTTAGCATCACAAGTTCCAATCTTCCAGATCCAGACTACATTTTTGCATTTGATACCGCACTGCTTCAGACCACGCTGCTTCCGGTTCCTAAGCTCGTCGAGGAGCAACCAACACCGTCGTGCGGGGTTGCGCAGGCGGGTTGTAGCAGCTCGAGAAGTGCAACTCCTGCGGCCGGGTTGCGCGGGCGCAACATCAAAGCGAAAAACCCACCTTCCGGCGCGGCGTCGAACCGGCCTGGTCTATCAAATGTAAAAATGTCTGGGTCTGGAAGATTGCTACATTTGTCATGCATGTCTGACATGGCTCAAGAATCTGTGATGCATGGGCACAAAGCTGTCCTCTTACCTGCCATGCAAAAAGAACGCAGTCTGCCATGCGGAACACGCAACACATGAGCCCAAAAATTTGTCATGCTTGGCTCCGTATTGCAGTGGAACAACTCCCATTCACTTTTAGCATTACAAATCTCCAGACCCAGATCGATTTTTGCGTTTGATATGGTCGCAGGAGCGAGAGCAAGAGCGGCTCTTCTAGTTCGCGTGGAAGCAGCAGCGGCAGTCGGCGAGCAAGTATCCAAGAGAAAAACATTGTTAGTGTAAGTTTGTGATGCGCAACGTGCAAGATGATTGCGTCTGTCATCCTGGGAATGCGTTGCGCGGTCCATTTAGCCGCGTTTCCCAGTACTATCTGCGCATGACAGGTTTTGCTCTCATGTTGCCACACAGCTTTGTAGTGCTGTTCCTCCAAAAAAGTTACACCTACAATCTTTTTTTCTTGGATATCAAGCAGCAGGTCACCTTCGCGTCCACGCAAGTGCTGCGGTTTTCGGTGCAGGTTGAGCGGAAGGCCAGAAATAAATTCTTCAAAAAAACACGTGTAGTGGGCCAGGAAAAGTGGCTGTTAGGAACAACAGCTGCGCGGTATCCTGAGTAAAAACGTACCCACACCAGAGTCAGGATGGGGAATCTGCTAGACAAATCAGCCAGCTTTGGTTGTTTGGCATGACAAGTTTGTCCGCGTAGTGTAGTGCTGTTTGAGCTAGTTTAGCAGCATTACAGATCTAGTATCTCGCGCTGATTGGAGCATGACAAATTTCAAAACCGCATTAGAAAATGCTTCTCATGGGGCTCCGCATGAGAAACATTTTAAGCATGCAGAGTTGCATGACAACTATGGTGTGGGTACGTTTTTACGCAGGATACGCGGTGGATCCGGCTGGACCACGAGGACGACCTGGATCTCGTGCAATACCAAACTATCAAAATGAAAAAAGCCCCCACCCAATATCAAATGGGAAATCTGTGATGCAGGATTTGTGTACACAAAGGCGGGCTGTCTTGCAATACGGCATCGCAGCCAGATCCGCAGCCTAGGGAGGGACATTTGGGTCTAGCTGCTTAGCATTACAAACGGCTGTCCTCTAAGCCCAACAGCATGCCAAAGCGCTTCCATAATGGCGCGGAAGCCTCTGCATTTGTCTTCTTGCAAGACATACGTGATTTGTGGTCTCAAATCAGCAAGACAAATATTCGGAAGCATGCCTTTTCGATATGGGGAGGGGGGATTTTTCCTCTCAATACTTACCCTAGCCTACTAACTAGCGTTCTCGGACGCTGCGTCTGCTATATCAAATGTTTTGTGCAATCTGCCATCGGTGTAAACAACAAATATACAAGTACGTTATCTCGTCGCTTTCCTATTACAATGAAAAATGCCCCCACCCCCGAACTTGAAAGCATTTGTATTGCAAATCTTTCCAAATGAAACATTCGCCCTCTTGCGTGTATCAGCATCACAGATTTCCGATCGTGAATAGCAAAAATTTGTATTGCAAAAGATCCCAGCAAGAGCGGTGCTTGTCATGCAAGCGATGCGAAACACGACTAGAATTATCTGCATCAGAAAGATTCTTACTCCTTTCATGCATGACAAAAAGCTTTCATCTGGAAACTTCGCATCACAAATTGTTGCAATTTCAGGGGTGGGGGGCATTTTTCCCTTTGATATTTCCTCGCGCTGGTTTTCGTCCTCGTTTCTCCCGCGCTGCTCCGGAGGCGAGCAAGTGGAGCTCCATGCTTATCATCTGCAAAAATGTCTGGGTCTGGAAACTTGTGTTGCTGATACTTGCATTGCAAACTTGCTGCTTGTACGGCGTAACAGCATGAGAAATTTCCCTCAGCTCCTTGCCGATTCATTCGTCTTTAGCATTACAAACTGTTAGGAACAACAGCTGCGCGGTGGATCCGGCTGGACCACGAGGACCTTATCAAATGTAAAAATGTCTGGGTCTGGAAACTTGTGATGCTGTGTGGCGTATCATGAGGAGGCGACAATTGCTGGCTCAGCATGGCAAGTTTCTGAGCTTCTAGGTGTTGCCTATTCTGCATGACAAGCTACGTTTCTGCATGACAGAAAAGTGGGGCTCTTGGGTAATGTGCATGACAGATTTAAGAGTCATGCCAGACAAGCATGACAACCTTGCATTCTTCCAGACCCAGACATTTTTACATTTGATAGACCTGGATCTCGTGCAATAGCTTCTTCGAGGGGGCTTTTCAATTAACTTATTGTTGAGAGGTCAGCACGAACAGGACAACTTTCTCCTATATTCTTGCTATGTTGCCGTGGAATTTATATTTTGATTTTAGAAACAAAAAGTCACAACATGGGCGTGCCGAAATCAAAGGCGAATAAATCGAAGACCCCGGCGCAGCTGGACACCGGGGACGAGGCGGCAACGAAGACCAAGGGCAAGGGCAAAGCAAATGCTGCGAAGGGTCGGAACAAGGAACAACAAAAACAAAAAAAGCAAATCGCCGACTTGATATCGATGAAAACAGTCTCCATGCAAGGCATGGAAATCCTGACAATGGCGGACTGGCGGGAACGAGTTCAGAGCGGAAAATCTCTGGACGAAGACTCTTCGTCGAGCGACAACAGCAGCAGCGAACTGGACAGTGAGCAAATGGAAGACATTGCCGGCGAAGACGAAAAAAGCAAGGACAAGATGAAGGAGAAGGAGAAAGGAGCAACCCCACGCAGGGGGGAGCGGAACAGCACCGGGGCCGGCATCACGATGTCCGCAAACAAGAACTCCAGCTCCATCGTCGCATACCCCGCTGCAGGCGCCGCCGCAGCGAACACGAAGAACAGCAAACGCCGCAAGAAGGAAGACGAGGATCAGGAGGAGGACGAGGACTCCATCCTGCAAGCGTCAACCTTCAGCTCCTCCGTCCTCGGACACGACATGAAACCTAAGAACCTGAGCCCGACCATGGACCTGCTGGCGGCGTCGCCACAGGAGCTGGTGAAGGAGTGGAAAAAATACGTGGTGAAGAAAATCCAAAACCGGCTGCTGGAGGAGCGAGTTTTGCAAGGAGAGCCATGCCGCAATTTGGTACCACGCGAAGACGGCCAGGGGAAAGAGGTGAAGGAGGAAGACTTCGCATACGACAAAGAAGATGAAAAGGAGTGCGCCAACCTGGTGAGGCAGGTGTGCGACGTTTTGGATGCGATGGTGCCGGAGTACCTTCACTGGATAAACGTCAACTCGCGCACCGGCTACTGCGATATCTTTTTGTCGGACTCCCTGGAGAGCATGGGCCTGTTATCCTTGGTGAAAAACCCGGCGCGAAATCCAACGATGAGATTTATCCTTGACTGCTGGATAAAGCCGAACGTGCCGCGGACGACCAAGGGGGCCAACGAATTCAAGAGGAGAACGGAGAACGCACACAATAAAGACGTAGAGAAGGCGACAGCGGAAAACGAAAAAGGGAAGAAGGAGGCCAAGGCCACCCAGTCCATGAAATCCGCCAAGGGGCTGGAGAAGGACAAGACGGCCGCGGCACCGGAAAACAAGAAAGGCGGAAAGGGGGCCGACAAGCCGCCCGCCGCTGCCACATCCACCGCTGCGTCTTCATCATCTGCTGCTGCGCCCGCCGATTTGAAAAAGCGTGATAAGTCGGTCCGACCCGACATTATCCGCAGTGCAACGCAGCGAAAGAAGGAGGAGGAGGAAGAGAAAAACAAGAAGAACGATCGGTCGCGCTCCCGGCGGGACGAGAGACAGCGGGGGAGGACCCGCGAGCGACCACCGGTGAGTCAACCCCGATCGCGCCGGAACAAGCCCGCAGGGGCTTGAGAGGAGGAGGTGGTGGTGATGAAAGATGTTGATGTCGACGCTTATTCAGATGAAATGGTGTAGAAGATACTAATTAGCACGTGCAAGCAAGATAATATTTGACTCTCGAGAAGCTGAAGCAGTCTATTTCTGACTGCGGGATGTGAACTGCACCCAGAGTGCAGAAACAGTCCCAGCACGCGCGGGACAGACGACACTGCATTTATTACGAGAAGAACGAAGAAAGAAATCCTTGAAGAAGCACCTGCACCAGAGCGAACCAATCCAGAACGCGATAGAACGGCGAAAGAAGATAGCAAATTCCAATAATTGCAACCCTGTGATAACCTGCACTATTCTGTACGATTGAGGAGCGACAAGTCAAAGAATAGCATTTGTTGTGCTTTTCTTTTTCTATCTCTGATCTCAGAGCCGGCGCCATTGTATGATGTGTTCGTAGGAACCAAGAAGGGCGAAGGCTAGTGAGCGTCACGAGAGTGTGAACAGCCGGAGGGAAGTAGGCGTTCACTTTGGGAGCTATCGGAAAGCCCGCCGAGAGCTGCACTGAGGGCATTTCGAACACAAATAACGACTTCGGAGAGAAGACAACCGGAGTCGCAATACGAAGAAGAAAGAGCGGAGTTTTTACCGGCTCAAGGCAAGCAACGGCTCAAGCACCGGAACCATGCGGCTCCCTGGTAAGGCGGCATGCCGAGCCGGGCGTCGTTCATCCGGAACCGGGGGGGAGCAACCCCCCCGTGAGCGATTAACTGCAGAATCAATCCATAATTACAATGTCGGGACGCTGAACGTCTTAACACTAGGCCGGGACGACGTGCAGGGACCATCACTACAAAAACAAGCAGTACTACAAGACGCGCGGGAAAGGCAGGCGAAAGTAATGCTATTGCAGGAAACAAGATGCAGAGAGTGGCTAACTGGCGAAGCCTGGGAAGAGTATCAGGCGTACGGGGGGGGCGCAGAAGCAGCAAATGGGAGCGGGCCAACAGTATACGGCACGATGGTGCTGGTCCACAATACGCTGGAGGTGGTGGAAATGACGGAGAAGAGCAATAGTCGGGTCGTGCGGGTTGCGGTAAAGAGCAAACTAGGAAAAAAGGCGCACTTCGTGTCGGCGTACGCGCCGACCGAGGTGTCGCCCGCGGCAGCAAAACTACGCTTCTACCACGAATTGCAGAAAGAACTCGACCAGGTGCCACCATACGACATTTTGGTGCTCGGCGGGGACTTCAATTGCGAGCTCTGCTCGCCGCAGCATGAGCTGGTTGACAGCGGCCTGCCATTCGTGGTAGGCAAATGCGGGCTGACGGAAGATTTTTTTCTTCCTTCAGACAACGGCAGAAGGGCACTGGAAATGGCGACCAGCAATCAGCTAACATCAGTATCAAGCCTCTACCGGAAGCAATTTCGAAAGCGATACACCTTCGAGGGCAAGTTTCCACATGGCAGAAAGCGGCGGGAGTATGACCATCTTTTTGTGAGGTACAGAGACCGGGGCCTCTGCAGGGCCTTCGAGGTGGCGGGGGATCTGTACACAGAATCCGACCACCGCCTGGTGCTGATGCGGATACAGGGCCAGGCGATCCGGGTGCCAAAAACCAAGGAGAGGGTGGGGAAACAACTGCTGCGAAACAAGCACCGCGCGCTTGAGGTGGACCAACAGCTGCTAGACAAACTGCCAGAAGAAGAATTTCTTCGCATGGAAGGCGAAAACACCACTGCCATCGACGTTTGGCAGCGTTTCAACGAAGTGATGCAGCCGCTGCTTCAGGACATGGAGGAGGAATGGAAGCGGAACAAGCCTGAGGCGAGGAGGAAGCCCTGGATTTCAGACCGGACCTGGAAGACGATTGAAAAACGGAGAAAAAACAGAGCGAAGGAGAAGAAGGACAAGCAAGCCGACGCACGGCTGCGAAGACGGATCAAGATGGAGATCACAGAGGACAAACAGCAGTGGCTCCGGGGGAAAATAGAAGAACTTCAGCGGGCGGACTCAGCGGGAAACTCGAAGGCCGTATACGAAACGGTCCGACAGCTGGCGGGGAGGGCAAGGAAACAAGGGCAGAACGGCCTGCCCGGGGGCGAGAAGCCTCATGTCGAATTTTGGAAACAGATACTAGGCACCCCGAGACCCGCCGCAGACAAACGACTACGAGAGACCGCAGCCTGGAAGAGATGCGAAGCGCTACTACAGCAGGAGCCACGACCGACATGGAGCGCGACCCGGACGGGTTGCCCCACAGATGGAGAGATCGACCAAGCAGTTAAGGAGCTGAAAAAAGGAAAAAGCCACGCCGGGGACTTCCCGGCCGAATTCTTCACCCACTCGGAGGCCGCGCGGCGGATACTCCGGGCGGTGGTGAAGAAGATCTTTGAAGGGGGCGAAGTGCCAGAGAGCTGGTTGGAAGCAGAAATAGCTCTATTGCACAAATCCGGGCCGCGGATTCCGTGCAATTATAGACCAGTGGCGCTGCTCCATGTCGGCGAGAAACTCCTGTCCCTGATAGTACTAAACCGGGTGCGGGACAGCGCATACGCAGCGGTGGACAAGAGGCAGAAGGGCTCTGTTCGGGGACTTTCGTGCAGACATGCGGTTTTTAAACTACTCAGGGACATGGAGCACGCGATAAAAAGTGGCGACGAACGCATCTACGACTTTATAGACTTCCAGAAGGCCTACGACTCACTAAATTGGGAGAAAATGACCGAGATACTGAAGTGGCAGGGCTTCCCGCCAGACCTCGCGGACTTGGTCCGCAGACTCTACCAGGGGGCCAGCTACAGCCTGAAGATAGCACCGGGGAAGCGAAGCAGCAAAACGCGCCAGAGGTGCGGAATACGACAAGGAAGCTCCTTGTCGCCCTTGATCTTTGTGTTGGTCCTCGGCTTCGCGCTTCTGGCGTTTGAGGATGCAATGCAGGAGCAGGGGGACTGGGTGCGCAGCAAAATAGACCATGCCTTTGTGTCTTGGCTGGGATTCGTGGACGATCTCGTGATCAGGTCCGACAGCAAAGAAGAGGCCCAGCGGGCGTTAATCCAGCTGCAGGCGGCGTGCCGCTTCGTGGGGTTGGAGCTCAACGCCAAGAAGACCGAGGCCATGACCATCGGCCTACTGCCAGCGAAAAAGCAAAACGAAGACGCGAGAAAGGAGCGGGTCGTGGTCAACGAAGGGGACGCAGACGGGCGCGAAGGCTGGGCAATTGAATGGGACGGGGTCGACCTAATTCCAGAATATGCCGCAGCAGCAAAAAAGAAAACGGCCCAAAGCATGCCCATGGAGAAGGTGACCCACCTCATCGCGTGGGACGATGGGAAGCACAGCCTCTGCTGGCTAAAACGCACAAGCTGGGCGCACCTGGACGGGCGGGAGGTGGTACGCATATCGCGCCTCGGGCGCGTGCGCCACGTCCTGGAAAGCAAAAACACCCACCGCTGCCCACGGTGCGAAGACGTCCTTCCTGACGAAAAAGCACTGAGATACCACATGGCGACGGGATACTGTCGGCCAGGGATGAGCAAAGAAGAGCTGAAGGTGCTGAGGGTCGGGCGGTATCTAGAACAAAAGGCCAAGACACAGCGGGCGGCAGCAGTAGTGCCCGCAGGGTTGCAGACCTACGACGGCAAGCCGGTCAAGACGGTCGGGGTATTCCGATACCTAGGGACGCAGGTACAGTGCAGCAGCGCAACAAGCAAGGAAACAGACCGGAGAACAGGAATAGCGCGCGCCACTGTGCAGCAGCTTCGCAATATTTGGGCAGACAAAGAAACGCCGATGGGACTGAAGGCGGAGCTGTTCACGTCGTTGTGCAGCTCCGTCGCGTTATACAATAGTGAATGTTGGGCGCCACGGGAGTGTGACTGGAAGGCCCTACGCAAGTTCCAGCTGCAGGCACTAAAAACAGTCCTTGGGGTAAAAAGGCAGTGGCAAAGGGAGCAGCAGCAACAGGACGCGGACGGGCAAAGCGAAGAAGAGGAGGACGAGCATGCTAGCAGGCTGGAAATGTGCAGGGGGCTCGGTGTGCTCGACATCGAGACGGCGGTGAGGGAGAAGAGGGTGGCTTGGGTTGCCCATGCCGCCCGCGACCGCACAGAGAATTCCGCGCTGTGGATCCGGAACGAAATTCGCATAAAGTCGGAGTGGGGCAAGCTCGTGGTGCAAGATTTCGCACACTATGGCATAGAACAAGGCGAGTTTTTCCGTGCCCCGCCAGATGCAATCACGCTGAAGGAGCTAATAAGGAAAAAACGAACAGTGCAAACGGGCCGACAAAGGAGACAGCCAAGACAGGCCACAGAGAAAATGAACACCAGAAGCAGGGAGCAGCGCGCACGCATAGAGCAGCAGAGACAAGAAGCCGAACAGGCCAAGGCGGCCTTCATTCAAAAGATCAGCGGCAGGCGCTGGGGCAGAGTGCCGAGCGCCAACGGGGGAGAACACTGGCAACTAGAAAGCGACCAAGAAATTCGCTTTACGGTGACGGGAGAAGATTTCTGCGAAAACACGGGGCGAGAAATCAAAGACGTTGCGGGCCAAGCCTTCTACCGCAACCAGGAAGGCCTGTGGGTTGCGGAGTGACGCCGGCCGTCACAAATCTGTGTTCGAGTGTGCGTCCACTCAAAGAAGGATGAGAAAAGACAATTTACAATGTCACGGACAAACACAAAGATGATGATGATGAGTAGAGACGCCCGCCGCGGTTCTTGTTGAGAAGGGTTTCTTCTATGTATGAATAGATACGTAGAAGAAATAAATCCGCAAAAGAACCTCCCAAGAAAACAAATTTGATTCTTTCTTAGAAATTTAGTCACCTTTAGGTGCGTTTTGCGTCACGAGTACTAAAAATGTCAAGCTTTAGCTTGAGAAGCTTCTTCCGTTTTGCAGAATGAAATTTCCGGCCTGACGCTCCCATAAAGATCGCGGAAAGCCGCATCGCCTGGCTTGGTGTCCTCTCCGTTGCGGAACTAATCCAAATCAAGACTTGATCGATCGGCTTGCGGACCTACACTGTATTAGTATTTCAAGCACAATGGAATTGGGTATACGTAGGCCCTTTATAGTTCTGATTTATTTACCGACGTGTATAATGCTCTACACCTAACTATCTGTGAGGCGCGCCACGGGCGCCGCAGCTTTAGCCTTACGGCGACGGCTGTATACGTTATTTTGTATATGTTCGACTTACTGTACGATACTTGAGTCAACACCGTAGCTTGTTGCTTGACCCAGCAGTCATTTGGCCCAGTTACTTGACTCATGACCGGCTGTTTTACCATGCAGTCTCTGACATTGCTCATAGGCAATAATCGCACAAAATTCGCCCAACACCGAATGCGAGAAGCCTTAGAGCAAAGAAGCGAGATTGATAAACGTCAAAGTACGTCTGCTGTTACATGTAAAAGTCGTGAAGAGTAAAAAGAAAATGGCCTTTGGGCTCCTGGAATAGTACTGAAAAACACTGTTGTGCACAAATCGCTTTTTTACCTTTTATTTTATCTGCTAAGGCTGGCACATTGTGACGACGAATACTAGAACTACTAGTCTGCAAAGATGACGAGATTATCTGGTCTACAGCTTGAGCCGTACTACTAGCGCTTCGAAGATGAGGATGTTGAATCTTTCAACGGAAATGAAGATCTCCAAAAATTCGCAGGGCATTTTTGTTGTGCGAAAACAGTATATCTTATCACGCTAAAAAACCTGGAAAGCATGACAGGACGAGGACACCATTAAAAGCTGACAGAAATCGAAATGATGGAAGAATTATAAAACCTTATGGTGCTGGGTCTAATTTCTCTTTCGCACAAGGAAGTATGATCTCCCAGGAAGATAAGCCTTCTACTACGTCCGGAGTTCATCTGATACACACCTACTTTACTTACCGTAGCCTACTAAGTAGCGTTCGTTCTTGGACGCTGCGTCTGCTAGGCCTGAACACTATTTTTGAAGAAGATGACGGGGAACAAAGTAATTCGACTTGACGTGTTAAAGTTAAGTCGAATAAACGGGAAAATCGTAATCGCAAATTCAGCTTTTATTTTCCTACCCCGACTCATCCATATTCTTCTCTAGCACGAAATAGCCTAAACCGGAAACCCTCTTAGCACGAACTTCACAGGAACCCTGAACACACCATCCGTCGAAGCCCCTGGAAGAAGTAGAAGACCGCTTTTGCTCGTCCTTTGCAAGGGACGGCAGCTGCACTACACTTCACTTCGGGTATTAAAAAACCATAAAAGCAACCAAAAAGGCTGCTCTAGTTTTAGCAAGTTAGGAATCTCCTCTTCTCGAGGTAGAAGAAGAAGTTCTGACCCCAGCATTAAAAACCTTCGGCGGATCATGAAAATATAAACAAACTCGCCACTTGAACTGCGGCGCAGCTTGGAGGAGTCGCTGACGAGTGGCGCTCCTACTTCGCACACGAAGGGTGTTCCTTGTTCCAAAATTATTTCCGAACACCCCTATTGTTTTTTTTTGGGCGCAACATTTGCCGACACCTCTACTCGGGTCGTCTGCCATCCTATTTTCATCCCAAATATCGTTGCTACCTGAATTATACGCGGCTTGTATGTTTATTCAATGTTGGTGTTCTTTTGTGTGGCGAAGTTTTTTTCGTGCGAGAACTACCAGATGCGTTTGGAAGGACAAAGAGAGTAGTAGAATCGGTGGAAAGCAAATTTCGTCCCAGTTTTGTTCATCGTTGTATTTCGCGTGAAGTGTTTCGCGTGAAGTTTCTCATGCGGATTTCCTATGGGGAAGCGTTTCGGGAAGTTGTCATGCCGGACTGCATTCGGAAGTGTTTTCATCATGCACATTTTAGCATCACAAGTTTCCAGACCCAGACATTTTTACAGGTGATATTCTTGGTGCAACGACAATATCGACAGGAAAAACCCCCCCTCCCTTTTCAAAACGAAACTATTCTGATGCTGGATTTGGGTACACAAATCCGAGCTGTCTTGCTGGAGAGCAGCACTGCAGGCCCATACTAAGTGTGAATAAAGAGGTTTTGGCCTAGGCACTTAGCATGAAAATAAACATCCGCGCTGTAGTCCGAACAGCATGACAAACTGCCTGCACAATGCGGCGGAGACCCCGGCGTTGCCTTCTTGTATAGACAGACACGATTTGCGACCACAAATCAGCATCACAAATTTCCAAAAATATACCTTTTCAGTATGGGGAGGGGGGATTTATTTTCCCTTTGATAGACAAGGAGAGGTACTCTTTCACGCTAGACCGCATGGCGAAAGATGCGTTGGCGGTCCTGGAAGCCGTCCTGGAAGAGCAGGTGGACTCCAAGGGAACGAAAGTAGTAACCGGGGGACCAGCAACTAGCCCTTGTTGCGATATCAAAGTGAAAAATCCCCCCTCCCCATATCAAAACCGAAATCTGTGATGCGGTATTCGTGTACACAAATCCAATCTGTCTAGCAGTAGAGGACTTCAGGCAGATGCAGCACCTGAGTAGAGGCGTTTTGCTGTAGGCACCTAGCAAGGCAGGCATATCCTCTAGAGGCGATACGGCATTACAAAGTGACTGCGCAACGCGGGTGGTTCTCTGGCTTTGCCCTCTTGCAATAAAGGGACGACTTGTGGCCACAAATCAGCATGACAAATTTTCAGTAGTTCACCTTTTTGGTATGGGGAGGGGGGATTTTTCCTCACAATATGCGATGTCCAGCTGATCCTGATCGGCCACTCCATGGGCGGAATGATCGTGCAGTGCTTGGCAGAAATGCTCGCCGGAAAGACGCTGAAAATACACACCGACGTCGCCAGCAACCGTGGTGCAGACGGAACTGCTTCCGCGCAGGAATTGCTGTATCAACGTGAAATAAAATCCCCCCTGCTCATCCCCATATTCAAACCATTTGTGTACACAAATCAGCTTTATTGTCACTTGCAGTAGAGGACTGCAGGCACAGATACTGAGCCTAAGTAGAACTTTTTCCTGTAGGCGCTTAGCATGGCAGACGTCTTCGGCGTAGGCGGCCTTGCAGCGTTTTATTACAAAACGCCTGTACTATAATGTGGCGGAGCCTCCGGATTTGCCGGCTTGCAAAAGACAGAGCTTATTCGTGGCCACAAATCAGCATCGCAGACCTTTCAGTATCGGGAGCAGGGGGGGGCTTCTTCCGACGATATGCTGCAGCTGAAACACAAAATACAACTGTCGCATGTAGTCCTCCTGTCAACTGCCCCGCCCTATAGCAGCAGAACAACCGCGCGCAGCAGCGCAGAGGAGATCATTAACCACCAGGACAAGAGCCCAATGAAGACCTCCGCCGCAACCAGCCCAGTGACCGCCGCAGCCGACCGGTTGTCCAAGTACACGACCGACCCCCAGGTGATCGAGTTGCGGGGCAAGCTGACCGGGCTTCAGGCCAGTGGCGCGCTGAGCCGCTATGGTGTGTGGAGCAAAACAGGGCGGGACGCGTTCCAACAACTCCAAACCCTGCAAAACCAGATGCTGCCGCTCTATGTGAAAGAAACAACGCTGATGCCCTACATGGGTTTTTTCTTCTACTGTTTTTCGCATCTGTCCCTCCCAGTTTTGTTCATCGTTGTATTTCGCGTGAAGTGTTTGTTTCTTGCGTCAAAATGACGAGTTCCTCGTTAAGCTCTTGGGTCGTTTTGGGGTCGTAGTCGTAGTCGTACTCGTGCATTAACAAATATCATCGTGACAGTCGTAAGAAATAGAGCCTGCTTTCTGAATGCCCCAGTTTTGCCAGCAAGGCCGTGACGCAGTTCCTGGTGTATCCCGAAATCCTGCGGCCGCGTGTGGACATCGATAATGTCCTCAACATCCCTCCACTAGTGATGGTGGACGCGTCTGCTTTCGACCAAAGCGGGAAAATCCCGCCTGCTCCCCCGCTACGACTCCTTGCGAAGGGAGAAGCGAGGAACAGCCAAGCACCGGAGCGCATCCCACACAACAATACCCCCGGGGGAGGGAGCAGCAGTAGCAGCAGTAGCAACAGCCGACCCACTTTGAAATTTGAAGAGACAGTTTTCGAAGCGAGCGAGAACCCACACGACGATGAGAAGCCGCGGCCGTACATAGAGCAAGACCGGGTGAAGAACAGCGGGAAGCTGCAGATGGTCACGCCCACGAGGACACAACGCAGAGCCCTTCACCGGAGCCTGACCGCGCTACCGAGCGGCGCGATCACGGACGACGCAGCGGCTTGGACCGTTATCGACGCCGGTCTGTTCTCCTTGGCCCCAGATAGGATTTCGCCAACTGGAATGCACCTCTTCAACAGTGGCGCCGAGCTGCCAGGGGCGGACGAGGAACCGGGGCCAGGCAAGAAGTTTTCCTGGATCAAGCTGACGATGGGCGCCGTTGAGTTTGCTCCTGTGCCGGAGCCGAAGGTCGTTGAGCAGGGGACGATCATCCTGCGGATCGAGCACTTCAACTTGGAGCGCGATGCCGAGCGGGACAACCTCGAGTCCGGGACGCTGTTGATAGACCGACCGGGATTTGGCCCGGAGCTGCGGAAGCGAATCCGGTCCCATACGAAGATTTGTGATCTCGACCAGGCCTGGCTGCGCAATGTTCTCCGGGTGGGGGACCACATGCGGCGAGCACTTGTGGCCGAGTTTCGCGGCGCTTTCGACCGCGGAACGATTTCGAGATACCTCGACGGGACGGCGTGCGATGAGGAGCAGAAGGCGATTAGTTCGAGGGTGATTTGCGACCTGAAGCGGGTTTCAGAGACGCTGATGACCCTGAAGGTCCGCTTTGTGCCCGGTGGGCACATGCAGTCCCGCGATGTTACCTGCGAGTGCCCAACGCCGTCGGACTTGGAAATCCGCATGTTGCTCTCGGCCGGGAGGCACTTCAAGAATCGCCGCACCCGGTGCGGGGTGGCGTTCACTACCTGAAGTCCATCCGGGGTGGCGTTCAGTACCTGACGACGACGCGCACGGACGTGCTCCTGGCGGTTCGGTTGCTTTCGCTCGGAAACGACGCGGACAAGAACTACAAGGATGCCAGACTGATTAACGCAGTCGTGGGCCGCCTGAAACAGTTCCCAGAAGTCGGCGTCTTCATCAACTGGAGCTACAGCGACGAATGTTTTCTGCTTTTCACCGATGCAGCATGGCAGTACCGCAAACCGGAGGAGCGCGACGAAGATGCGCGCGGCAGCACGGACCGGAGCGAAGAGGCGCATGGCCTTCGGGAATTAGAAGCGGCGACCGCCGTTGGCGCGAGGGGTGTCAGCGTAAAGTCCGCCACAGCTAAGAAGAGGCAGAAGACCGAACGGGCCGCCGCTCGACACCTTTCTGCACCGATGCCCGAGGCCACCCGCGGTTCCGTTGTATTTTTTCGTCCCAGTTTTGTTCATCGTTGTATTTCGCGTGAAGTCTGCTGTGATTTCGCGTGAACAGGGAAAGATTACGGCCGGAAAAACCTCAGCGCAAATCGCTGGCATTCATCATAGTGTTTGTTTTTCATTTTTCATTTTCCGGTTGAGAATTTGAGAGCTTCTATAGTAACGGTTCAAAAACAGCATGGCAAATCAAGAAAGTCCGAAAATTCTTGCTGTTGCACCCTACCGCGACGTACTTTGAGCGGTGCTTCTCTTACTCTTCTTTCCTAGTTTCGGTGAGAAATTGCGCGTTCAAAAGTGAAGAAATATATCACGACACTGGGGTCGTCAGGTTTGTAGTTCTTCGTCGTTCGTGTATCTCGAAAAATCGAGAATGTGCGACGATTTGCCGGTGAAGATTTTTTCATCATCTCCATCATCGCGTTCCAAAAAATCGAGAATGTGCGACGATTTGCCGGTGAAGATTTTTTCATCATCTCCATCATCGCGTTCCAAAAAATCGAGAATGTGCGACGATTTGCCGGTGAAGATTTTTTCATCATCTCCATCATCGCGTTCCAAAAAATCGAGAATGTGCGACGGTTTGCCGCTACGTCAAAGACCTCGCAACAGCAACACAAATTTATCTTTCCATCTTCATCTTGATCGTTCTGTCGCGCCACGATCTTCATCTTTTGAATGTCGAGATAAATGTGAAAATAAAACATCCTGTGACAATTTGCATTACAAACTCCAGAACGCGGAGATTGTTGCACACCAACATTGATCAAGATCAGCACCAACATCGCGTGTGTGCTTCGTCATCATCTTCTTCTTTTTCGCGGGCGGGTCTGGAACATCTACATCTTGAAAACAACAACATCATCGTCTTTGTGTTTCTTTCACGGGCGGGTCTTGAACATCTACGTCGCGAGAAAACGCAAATCTTCAAGGCGGGGGGTAAAACCGCCCACATGTGCCGTCGTTGTCGAATATCAAGCCTTTTTAGTTTTCCCAGAGTTAACCCCTACGGTGGTGAGATCGGCAGGTGGTTGAGGTTTCTCCGGAAGCAGGCCCGGATCCACCGCGCCCGATCCCCTTGGTTGTTTCCCCACTGGTTTCCGTTGTTGTCGTTCTGCACTGCTGCGTTTTTCCGGTCGTCGTGGATGCGGCCGAGGATGGTGGTCAGGCGCGCCATGGAGA